AGAGGCTATGAATGGCCTTTATTATGCACTGATAGTAAATATTCACCTACTTGTTTTCTGCAGAGATACTGTGTTTGATGATGGAGAGTGGTGCTCTAAGTGGCATATGCCCCATATTTCCTTTTTAAAATTAAAAAAAAAAATCAGAATTCTGAAACACAGTTGACCCTAAGGGTTTGAATAACAACTTGTGTACCTTTATGAGAGAAAAAAAAAATCATGTCAACTTTGCCTAAACAGAGGCTGGAATCTCTCAGAAAATGGTAATTAGCACGTTCATTATTAGAGTCTCAGGTTCTGCTTTTGTTGTAGACCTGATCATCTTATCAATGGAAATAAACTCTATTGTGAGCAGTAGAAGTAACAAGGTTGCCCAGAAATGATTGTGTGTTTGAATTGCTGCATGATGAAATCGGGAACTTGAGAAGATTTTTTTTCTTAAGTAAAGCAGAGATGCAGATGAAACTTACAATGACATCCTAAATGTGTCATCTGTCCATTCACCCAGTCATTTTCCAATCTACCCAAATATGAGATCTTCCTACAACAGAAGATCTTCTTACAACAAAAATCATCCTTCTGCTGGCAGTGCCCTAACTGCCAGTTAGTGAAACTTTGCTCCCTGTAGAAAGCCCACATTGAAGGATTGAACTGCTCCCACTTTCTTGCTATAAAATCCTTGGGGGGAGAATCTTCTGTACTCAATTCTGATTGAGGATAATTTATGACCTAGTACAAGGTGGGGGTTGGGGGAAGGGGAGAGCAGAGAGAGGGAAAGAGGAAGGCGGGTGGGAGGATCACAGTGTGTGACACACATTTAGGGCGTGGGACACAACTATAAGAGGGACTTTACCTAACAAATGGAATCAATGTAACCTGGTTCTTTGTACCCTTGATGAATCCCCAATAGTAAAATAAATAGATAAATAAATCATCAAAAAACAAAACAAAACAACAAAATCCTTGAGGGGGAAGGATTGGCTCTACACCTGTCATGAGGCCTAATAGAAACAAAGCCTCTGAAATTGACAGGACCACAGGGATGGATGTTTCCTTCTGGAAAATGCAAAGTGAGTGTCAGGGTCCAGGGTCAAAATCCTTTAATAATAAGAGGCACTGGTGACTTAATGGTGGAAACTGAGGAAAGCACAGTCAAGGGAATTGGAGGTTGGGTTTTACCTTCGTGGAGTCATTAGGTGGATTGTTATTTTTGCAATTAGATTTTGGGGACCTTGTGTTTGCATGTTTGTCTATATACCCAGTGAGGATGGATCTCACTTTGGTGGTAAAATTATGCTCAGAAGTTTGTAATTTCTTTCCTAGCCTTAAGTTTTCAATGGGGTTGATAATCACATACCTAACTGCTCCTAACTGCTCTTTTTTTTTTTTTTTAAAGGGATTTATATCTTAATGGTTCTCATTTAGTGAACACTCACTGTGCTCCAAGACATTAGGCTACATGTTTTATGTACTTTATCTTGCTTAATCCTTATCATAACTCTTCTGAGGCAGGAACCCATTTGATAGATGAAGAACTGCAGGTCCAAAGATGGTAAGTGACTTGCCCAGGGACACAGAGCTATTAGACGGCAGAGCCTGGACTCAGCCAGGTCCATCAGATGCTAAAACACTTACTCTTCCATCACTCTGATCCCTCTAGCTTAAAAAAAAATGTATTTGAAGATTTGGGAAAATACACACTACAGCATAAGGGTGAAATATCATAAATAGGGGTAAAGCATTAAAGAGAAGATATCCTGCTTTCTGGATAACTAAAAAGATGTATTCTGGCCCTTTTTAGGAAACTTATACCCCTTCTCCTGATTCATAATTTAAAAAACCTCACAAATGGTGGTGCTCTGGAGGTGTCTCATACTGTCTCACCAGGACTAATTTTGTGCATCCCTTCTTAAATCCAAGATCAGTGACATCATCTTGGTAAGCCTGAATCAGCCATGGTGGGAGTATTTACACCATGGACATTGGCATTGTTACAAATCATGGCTCCTTCCCTCCTACAGAACTGCTTGTTAGACATTTACCAGCATACCACTGATCTCAAGCTAATAAAATCCCCATCAGGAGGATATGGTCAACTAGAAACAACAAACCTCAACCAATAACTCTACTCTCTAGGGGAGTCTTTACTTGGACGGCATTTTCCTCCCAGATCTGGCTAGGTCAGTTTCAGGTTCTGCTTTTATAGAACTGTGCTTACAAGTCGTGATAGAACACCATCTACTCTCAGTGTGACCACTATGTCCTTCTACTGCAGTTAACAGTACCGAGCACATTTCTAACACCAACCAAAGGAAGTAAAGATGGTCCTTTTCTTCTCAATCCAAATTCTACATGATATTCTTTCCTCTCTTTGGGGGAATGGGTGCTCATAGGTTGGAGGCAAAATGTTGTTGGTGGCTTGCTCAGAGAGATAAAAAGTCCATTAGATACCCACTCGCACAGAGGTCTTTTTCTTAGAATCTAGGCAGTCAACTGTGAGGAAAAAACAGATGCCACTTTTACTTAGAAACTCCCACTTTTCAGAATTCTGCCAACAGAAATATTTGTAACTGGGCATACAAGAGAGGTTTAAGGATGTTCCATGTTTAAAATGTCAAGAATTTGGGAATGACTCTGTGTCTGTCAATAGAGAAATGGTTATCTAAATTATGCTCCATCCATATGATAGATTACTCTGCTCCTGTTACAAGAATGCAGAAGCTTTGTCCATACCGTGTCATCCCAGAAAGACGTCTGTGAGTCATTGTAAAAGGAGGAAAATCATGTAGAGAACAATATAGAAGTATGATCCCACTTCTGTTAAAAAAGCATCTGTGTATATTTATGAAAGAAAGGCATTAGAGAGATTTGGGAGGACCTAACTTAGACCAGTGCTCTAAGGACCAGGAACCAGTTTCATAGAAGACAAATTTTCCCTGGACCGTGGGGGTAGGGGCATTAGATTATCTAGATCCTTCACACGCACAGTTTACAGTAGGGTCCACGCTTCTTTGATAATCTAATGCCACTGCTGATGTGACAGGAGGCACAGCTCAGGTCATGGTTTGAGTGATGGGGAGCAGCTGTGATACAGAGAAGCTTTGTCACTGGTTGCTGCTCACCTACTGCTGTGTGGGCTGGTTCCTAACAGGCCAAGGACTGGTATTGGTCTACAGCCTGGGGGTTGTGGATCACAGCTTTTTTTAGACCTTTACATGGAGTTTTCTCTTTGGAGGGGGTCTCAGGGGGGTAAGGAAGACTTCCGTAGTTTAATACTTGTAAAATTTTTGGCCGAGTGTGGTGGCTTATGCCTGTAATCCTAGCACTCTCAGAGGCCAAGGTGGATGGATTGTCTGAGTTTAGGAGTTCTAGACCAGCTTGAGCAAGAGCGAGACCCCTATCTCTGCTATAAATAGAAAATCTAGCTGGACATTGTGGCAGGTGCTTATAGTCTTAGCTACTCAGGAGGTTGAGGCAAGAGGATTGCTCAAGTCCAAGAGTTTGAGGTTGCTGTGAGCTATGATGCTGCAGCACTTTTCCCAGGATGACAGAGTGAGGGTCTGTCCCAAAAAGAAAAGAAAATATATATATATATATATATATATATGTAAAATTTTGGAAAAAATTTCCTTAAGAATAAGTTATATTAACTTAATGCTCAGTTTTATTTTAAAGAAAAATAAATTATGCATGGGAAAGTTCCATGGCTGTCAAATAAATTCTGGGAGCCACAAAGGATATTTTGAAATAACTAGGGTGCTATGGGGGAGATGGGAGCAGGTTGGAAATACCACACCTCAGTTCTCTCCAGCCCCCAAACTTCTTGTTTTATGTAGAAATTGCATTTCAAAAAAAATCTGTTTTATATTACTGGGGCTTCCATTAAAAAATAAATTTCTGCTGTTTAAAAATAAATAAAGTTTGCAAACCACTTGTATCAAGGGAAACTATAGTTTTAAATTCGCCTGAAGCAAAAATACCAAATCAATTGGAGTTATCTGTTATATGGGAGATTTATATTTCTGGTTGTATCTGAGGTTGTTTATCTGGGCTTTGGGGGGTAGAGGGGATTTGGAGATTTAGGGAATGGGTGGCAAATGTCCCCATGGAGAAGGAATTGATTATGACTCAGGATTTTGTAAGAAGAAGAAGAAATCCACCTGGAAGGCAGGATGGCGAGAGGGTACAAATGTCAGTGTTTGAGTGGGGTCGGGGTGGGGAAAGTTAGCATTGGAGGTAGGCAACTATTTTATTTAACTCATCTGTGACTTTCACAGTGCAAATCCAGTTCCTCAAGTCATGGTTCTTTACCATTTTTAGCCCCATTCTTGCAGACAACTTTACTCTTATTAAAGAACTAATGTCTTCACATGCCTGTCTGTTCCTTTTTCTGCACCTGTGTGCACTATGTGGTTCCTGCAACAGTGACCTCAAAGCTTTTTGTGTGAGCCCTTCCCTCAGCTACTATGTTCTGGGCTTTTGCCTGGGCCAAGCTAGCTGCTCCTGAGACCTGAATATCAAGTATTTCCTTGGGTCCAAGTGGAACCAATATATGTTGGAAAAACAGTAAAACAAAACAAAACCTTGAGAAAAAGTAGGAGCATAAGGACAAAGAGTAAAGGAAGAACAAAAGGGAAGGAGAGAAGAAGGAAAAGAATAGGGCTGGAGAGTCACAGTTCAAGAGAGAGTTGGAGAGAAATCCCCCAGAAGTGTGCTGGTATCACTTGCCCATTCCTATGGTGTAAACACTCCCACTGTGGCTGATTGATTTCAAAGTACAAATTTGATGTTACTGAATGTGGAGTTGGGAAGAGATTCTGGAAGGAAACATACACAATTCTATATAAGCTGACTCCAACGGTCCCCCATTTGGACCCCACAGAGGACCTAAAGCGAGCCACCCATGAAAAATGGCAAAAGGAGGGGAAGAACACCGAGGAGACCCTTCCCCCCTGCCTGTTCTACTGCTAGTTTAGGGCAATTGAAGGGCCAAGGCATACTTTGGATTCCAGCAGGTGATCACAGGCTTCATGGTGTGGTGAGTGTGGTCGATAGTCAGGGCCTCCAGAAGCCAGTGGAGGGCACAGAGCTGGCGGAAGAGGGGCTCACTGCAAAGACAGAGAGAGGGAGCACAGGGGGACCCTGTTAGAACAACATTCTTCACTATAGTAGCCATAATGATAGTAACCGTGCTGGTATCCAGTTAGAGAGCTGGCACCATGACTCAAGCATGTGTAAGTATTTTGCATACATCACCTGATTAGGTCTTTGCAATGGCTCCATGAGATGTCCACTGACCCCATTTTAGTGAAGAGGAATGGAGGCTCAGAAGAGTTAAGGACATCATGCCAGGTCACTAGGCCAGTAGGTGGCAGAGCCATAATTTGAAATAAGATAAGACTATGCCAGTTACTGGGAATTTGCTGTGCAGGAGCCAGAGACTAAGGAGGGGTCCCCAGACAGAGGTCTTGATTTAGGTGAACGAGAGGCTTGAAGGAAATTAATATCCCACGGGTGCCCAATTGTTAATCTGACAAAAGTACAATAAACAAGAGTGTGCAAAATGTCTGGAGACACAGGGAAACGCATGTATTAATTGATTCCCCTCTTACATTAAAAATCGGATGAATTGCTTTAAATTTATAAGTCCTTTGCCTGAAAATGTAGCTGGATTTTGAAGAAAAACATGTTGAACACATTATTTAAAAATGTTAACTAAAACATTGTTTAAAAACATGTCTAACCTACATTTTCTGATTTTTTTTGATACCTTGTATTAAATACCTACAATGGAGCTAGGCACAATGTAGATTTTTTAATCTACATTTTTAAATCCTCCTAATGATGTACTTGGGTATGCATTATTGCTATGAGTGTGGTTGTATTCCAACAAAGTTTTATTTATAAAGTCAGAGATGTACAATCACTTTGCTCAAGGTCACATAGCTTGTTGGTGACAGGGATAGTGTCTTAATATCTCATTTAGAGCTCACAGCAACTCTATAAGAAGCATACTGTTCCCACCTCCTGTTTACAATGAGGGACATTTGGCTCAGAGAGGTGCAGTGAGTTACCCAAGGTCACACTGCTAGGATTAGTGAGGATTTGGACCAGGGTCTCTTTAACCCCAAAGACTGTGTTCCCATGGACCTAGTGCTGATGAGGCCAGTGTAGTGGTCACCCCGAGAGTGAGGTCAGGAGAGGGTTAACCTGCTGCCTGTCTTTTTCCTGGAAACAAGTTGGAGCCCTGGCCAGCTGCCCTCCTCCCCCCATCATTTCTCCTCTTGCACTAATGCCTCCATTAGGAACCTGTGTAATTGCTCTTCTCTGAAACTTCATCCCAGCTGATCACCACTCCCCAGGGTTCCTAGGCCTGATGTTTGCAGGGGCAGGAAGGTATCTACCCTCCCTGGTTCCAGGAAGGCAACTTCCGAAGGTGGGGCCCAAGTGCAGGTGTGGAGCTGGCCCAGGGTTATCCTGGCTTATCCCTTGAGAGGTGTTCTTTTCACTCAGCTTGAAGGGGAGCTGCCCCGTCACTCCTGGTCCTCCCAGCCTGCTGTTATGGATTGGCCATACCTGTCAGGTCTTAGGAAAACTAGAGGAAGCAGCTCTCTCTCTCTTCTTCTCTGGAAACTTCTCCTTCCATGGATTATTTACTAAGCACATAATTTCCTCTCACTTCTCATCTTAAGTACCCCTAAGTCCACAGCGCTTTTAGTTCTTGCCTCTTTTTCCCCATACACTGTCTTGGGCCCTGTAGCTAACAGCATTTTGGACCATGCTCAGTATTTAGCCAATGGCGGCAGCAGCTGTGCTGTGTGGGTGGCACTGGGCCATAAGCACCTCCGTACACCATCCCCATAACCACAGGAATTTGTGAAAGGCCAGAGGAGATGCCTACCCCCTCTCTGTTTAATAGCTTGGAGGCCATGCAGACCTGGGCTTTGCATATGTGTGTGGGAGGCAGGGAAATACTCAAAGGGAGCTAAATGGTGAGGTGGGGTCTGCTTGGTCAGGGGGTGGGGCCAGGAATGGGGCACATGTGAGCATCACGTTCACTTCTGCAGGTGGCAAAAATAGGTGCAAACCTGACCCTCTTCCTCCCTTGTTTATAAATCTTCACACTCCCAAAATCCTCTGTAATGGGCTAAATTGAGAACCGCCCCCTGCATCTGTTGAAGCCCTCACGCTGGTACCTCGGGGTATGACTGTATTTTGGAGATAGGGCCCTTAAAGAGATGACACAGTTAAAAATGAAGCCAACAGGGTGGGCCCTAATCCCATCTGACTACTGTCCTTGTAAGGGAGGAAATCTGGACATGCAGAGACACTAGGGCTCTGTGCACAGAGAAAAGGCCGTGTGAGGACACAGAGAGAAGGCAGCTGTCTTTGAGACCAGCAGAGCGGCCTTGGAAGAGACCAATCCTGACAGCACCTTGATTTTGAACTTAACAGACTTCAGAAGGGTGAGAAAACACACATTTCTGTTTTTCAAGCCCCCTGGTCTGGTATTTTATAGTGGCAAGCCTAGCAAATGAGCGTACTGTCACACATGAGCCCTCCTCCACCTCTCCAGCCTCGGGTCATCCCACTTGTTTCTTGGGCTGCTATCTGCAGCCTCGCAAAATTCTGCTCAATTGGTCAAGCTCACTATGCTATCCCTTTGCACTTCCTGGGTTAAAATCCTAGCTTTGTCATTTACTGGCTATGTGACCTTGGCCAAAGTACTTAACTTCCCTGAGCCTCAGTTTTTTCATCTATAAAATGGTGGTAACTGTAGTACCTTCCTTGTAAGGGGAGGGTGAGGGTGGGGTCAAGTGCTTAGCACCATTCTCTGCTCCTGATATATATTCTCCTTCCACCTCCTTGTTCATCTCTCTGTGATTGTGCTTCAGCGCAGGTACCACCCTCACCAGGAAGCCCTCCTTGATTGCTCCAGGTCTGGGTTAGGCTCCCTCTAAGGAGCATTTAAAGTATCTCTATCCCCACAGTGGGTCCCCTGTCCCCATGTTCAAGTTCCCACTCTATTGAAGCTACTTGTTTACTGATCCCTCCAGCCCATCAACCTACAAGCTAAAGAGTTTTGCCCACCATAGGGTACCCTGTGCTGGGCACAGAGTAGGCTCAATGTTTTTCTGGTTACTGAATGGAAGGTGGTGGGAATGAATTGGTTTGGAGCCGAAATTTCCTGAGCTGCTAAGTTGAGCACGATTCTTCTATACAGAACCACTGAGATGGTGAAGAGTAGTCACAACAACAACAACAAAATAGCAGTAATAGTAAATACTTCCCTTACAGTTCTTACTCTGTGCCAGATGCTGTTTTAAGTGCTCAGCATCCGTTAACTAATTTCAATTCCTTATAAAACTTTGTGAAGAAGGAACTGTTATTACCCCCACTTTGCAGATGAGAAAACCGAGGTGTAGAGGGTCATGTAACTTGCCAAAGGTCCTGAAAACTAGCAGATGGCAGCACTGGAATCTGACCGAGGCAGGCTGGCTCCTGAATTCTTGCTCTTAACTACAATATGCTGATGTCTCTTGTTATAGGTTTGCTTTTCATCAGAATAGAGTTTCACCCCGTGGGTGTGGCCCTTCCTCTCTATTTATTATAAAAACTATCTCCAACCTGATAATCATTCATCTAATCTGCAGTGAAACAAACTTAAAAAACAGAGAGTCCCCGGATACCTGCTTGACAGAAATTGGTCCCTTCCCATGATGAACGTGTGTCAGGTCATCACACAGCTCATAAAATTGTGTTTGGATTTTATGAAATTAAAAGAGAATGTGTTTATTTTCTTAAATGCAGGCCATAATAGGTGAAAATGCTGAATGGGGATGTACAAAGCCTGCTTTGGAGATCCCTGAGCTCAGAACTCCAGACAAGCACCAGTAGTCAGCATACCTGAACAGCTCACTCTATTAAAACTGCTGTACCAACCGGAATACCAGTGGGCACAGACATCTCTGAGAAGAAAATGTTTTTTCCCTCTTACTAAGAGAAATCAGAAAATGCATTCAAAGCCATTCCCAGAACCCCATGCCTATTGCCAAGGGCAAATCTGGAAGCGGGTTGTAGACACTGCACTTGCTGCACAATTGCTCCCCAAAAGGCTGTGGGGAGCCCCATCATCTAAGAGGGAAATGCTGAGGTCTTTCTCACTTCCGGATCACCTGCTCCCCTTTTAAAAGATAAAGGTCAAGTCTCCCGTGAAATGATTGACTTGATCTCCACACACAGTCAATTCAGAATTATCAGCCAGTTTTGAGATCAATCACACTGGGATTGAAGGGACTAACCAGGCTCTGATCTGCATTGGCTGATGTGACAACTGAGAATTCAGGAATTGACTGGCCAGGGCCTGCCTTGATGCCTTTTGGTAGTAGACTGATTACAGCTACGCCATCCCTTTCTGCTTTGCACACTTTGCAATGTGACTTTACCACTTCACACCCCCATCCACACCCCCATCAACAGGTGGAGTCTTTCCTCTCCTTGTATTTGGGCTGGCCTGATGGCTTGATCTGGCCAGTAGAATGTGCCCAGGCCACTCTGTCCATTCTGAGCCAAAGCCTCAAGGAGCTTAGGATACTTATGCTCTTTATCCTTAGAACCCTCTCTGCCTACCGTCTGAATAAGCCTGGGTTAGCCTACCAGATGTTGAGAGATACTCCTGTCACCCTGGCCAAAAACCAATCACCCAGTAGACTTGTGAATGAGGCCATTCTAGATTGGCCAACCTCCAGCTTCCCTATCAGCTGGGTGCACACACATAAGCAAATCTAGCCAAGATCAGCCCAGCTGGCTTGGCCAGCAAAACAACCCAGAAGAATGGCTATTGTTTTAAGGTACTCCATGTTGAGGTGGTCTGTAATATAGCCAAGGATGACTGATACAGTCATCAAATGAAGCTACAGGCCTTTAATAACCAAGAAGAAGGAAGGAAGGGCAGCCTTCAGTCCAGGGCAGGGGTTAGCAATATACTGCCAGTAGACCTGCCACTTGTTTTTGTAAATAAAACATTATTGGGACACAGCCACTGTTGTGTCTTTCATGCAAGTGTTTAATGTAAATAAAACACTATTGGAACACATCCATTGTTGTGTCTTTCATGCAAGTGAGACCACCTGGTCCACAAAGCCTAAAATACTTATTCTTTGGCCCATAAGGAAAAGTTTTCTGACCTCTGGTCTAGGGCACAACATCACCATCATCATCATCACTATTAACATAAGCTCTCTACAGTCACTTCTTAGCTGATTTACAACTCAATTTGCTCAGACCAAATGAGTCATGGGAGGGGACCAAGAATACACATTTCCCAAGGCATTTTCTCTCTGCTCTTACCCATATCCCTAGATGATTCAGATTCAAGTGATGTACACCAGGTGGTTTCAGAAGGCTTGGCTATGGGAGAGATGGGCAGAAGTGCACGTTTCCAAGGCACATCATGAGAAATTGCAA